CGATAACCAAAATCTAAATTAAATTAAGGGAGAGGAAATACTAGTACTGAATAATCGAGCCAAGCCCCGGGTCGCTGTTAATCCACGCAATCTTCCGTGCACCTCCTTGGGACGCCGTTGAGTAGTACGAATAAGTACCAGTCTGTGGGGTTTCTCGAAGTCTTCTTTTTTCAGTACTCCCAGGCAGAACTTAATCCTGTGTCAGGCTTCATCTAGAAACACTCCACATCGGTTGCAATATCAATCACTCAACAGCTAGCCCCTTAAAAGACCCGATCGGCTGAACTTTCAGTCAATCATTAATATGTAGATGTTCGATTGAAACACGCAGTACAAAGATCGACGGGACTTGTAGGTATCTCCATTCCACCGGCCCGGGACAGGGCAAAACCCCTCGACAGCCGAAACCTTGCTCATGATGCAATCAATGGTTGTAGCGGCCGCTAGGGTTTGGGGGGATGTCCGGGGAGCACATGGAACGGGCATTTTAGGGCTTTGTATTCCCGGTGGGGGAGAAAGTCTGGGGAGTGGATATTATAGAGGAGCAAAAGGTGGTACATACTAGATAGTATTTGGAAGGGGGCCATTGCTAAAAGGGAAAATAGGGCTCTGTACCATGAAAGGCACCCAAGACTTTGCTCGGTAGGTGCTCCGAAGCTTCCAAGGCTAGAGTAATTCCAATGCCGGATAGTGCGATACCTAGATTCATTCAATGTTTGGAACGCTAAATCCCTACAGATGGCGCTAGTAGATAGTCGCTGGAATTGGTCAGTGTCGCCGCGCTCCGTTTGGGCCAAGTCTTCATGAATGGACTTATCTAGCTTCTTGTTCTGCACTAGAGGATAGACAGATACTCCATTTTCGAGCATGAAACTGCACCTCAGCGGGCCATGGCGCAGCCGCGTTCCTTCTCGACGGTAATGACGCAGACGACTACTTTTATTTACATGTCTCGCAAGCCTCGGGGTTGGTCGGACCCGGTGGGAAAATAAGATTGCGTGCCGTGTCGGGCGCTCATTGGGCCAGAAGTCAAAGAATACATTGTTGATATTTATGCCGACCTCAGTCAGGCCCCAGGAGAAAGTTCTACCGGCAATCCTTCAGGCTGCTTGGCTGGGGATTATTACCTGCGACTTCGATGATGAACAGGCAATGAAATGCCGCTGTCTAGATCGGGCAATCTCTCCCTGCGCGTCGATCTGTCGTCGACCAGCCGCTGATAGTTGACAATGCATGCCGGTTTGAATCCGATCACGAGTGCATTGAGCACGTCGGCGGTTTGTATTTCCACAGCCCCTCCTTCATGCTGACAAAAGTTCCTGCATCGACTCACGATCTCGACCCGCAACAGTCGTCGTTTGGCGTTCATATCTTAGCCCCAACGGATTTCAGACCTCTTTCACATGCTCCCACCATTGTCTATCATCAACCCTGTCACTGCTAAGGTGGGTTTGATTGACCTTGGTGGCGCAATATCCTAACGTCGCAACACTGCCTTGGAGGGAGCTAGAGCCTTGCCTAGCATGTGGCCCCTCTAATTTCAACAGCCTGAGCCACCGACCAGGGGGTCCGGTCCTTCAAGTCTATTGTCTAGACTCTGTAGACGGAGTCTAGAACTTCATCCGAGCCCGACTGCGATAAGCGAATCAAATAAAAGTATAAACGTGTTCATTTTGTGCCGAACCTGGCTTCGTTCGTTTGTTCGTTTGTTCGTTCGTGGCCCAGCAGGGCGGGGGCATGGGTCTTTCGACAGAACTCTTCCGAATTCTCCCTTGTCTGGAATGATATGATTGCTTCCTTCTCATCAACAAAAACTCTATCTCAAAGAAAGGAAAACTAAAAGCCAAGACATACTCAAACTTTAAGCCTCGCCTTGATGGTTTGTAATTGTAATAATTAAAAGTTTTGATTGTGGTGAGAATCGGCGTACACCGGTACTTTTGCTGTTTTTTCCATCTGCAATTCGTTCAAGAAGGTAGGTAGCAAACACCAGGTAAAATGGTTTCCCCAGCCTTGGAATACAGAAAAGAGCCAATCGTATTCACTGGACCACAACATACATACATACTAGCTAGCCCTTGACGTGGACCCTCTTCCCACTTACCCGGCTTATACCCGGTTACTATTTCCTTGTTGCATGATACTTGCGTGGGTTTCTGCTCGTAACAATTCAAACAGTACCCCGACGCAATGACTTCCGCTAGAAATTGACAACATTCCCCTTAAAGGAATGATCAAACAAACCATGGTCCCATTGATCCTCCGCACGCGGTCTGTGCGGAAATTGAGCTTTCGGGTGGAGTACCGAAGCCACTTCCGCCAACCCACCGAGACAACCCACCAGAGGGGGTGGGCATATTGTACATACATACGCGGAAACCAAGAGGAGGAAAAAAGAACGAAGGAAGCCTCAAAAGAAGAAAACGAAACACCGGGTTATTACAGAATGATCGGCACAGTTTACAGCCGAAACACCGGGAAAGCCGTGCAGATCCTCTGTTGTCCTGGTATTAGCAATTATCCGAAACCAAAAGAGGCTGTTCAGCCGATGAATCCACCGACGATAGGGATTTGGAATTATTCAACAGTTCGTCTTGAGAGCCTTTGTGCCAATGGTAATACGAATACGATATACCCACGGCACAAGAATGAAAATTGTATCTTTCTGTGAAGAAAAGTCTTGAAATCCCCAAGTCGAAACCGGAGGTGTGTCCTCCACTTGTCAAGCCTATCGCTCCGTGTCTGTGATAGAAAAGACCTGCAATCGGCTGCAGAACAGTGCTAGAAATAACAAGGATTTCCCGTCCCCGGAAGCCACCCTATTCGGTGACCTATAAATGAAGTGGTCGCGGACCCCACGAGACGAGGCAGCTCGTCATCTCCCCCCAGGCCTGGCATTTCTTGCCAGGTATACACTATCAAAAGGAAGGGAAGTAAAACGTCATTGGGGGCGGACTTGCATTGCCGAGTGAGATGCATTGCCGATCTGTTTCGGGTGAGCGTTTAACGACCAGTGGGGTTGGGTTCATGCAGGGTTCTTACTCAGGTTTCTTACTTGTACAGATTATATTCGGGACGGGATCTGATCGCAGGGGAGCTACGTAGTCCCAATTGCTCTGAACAGAGTCAGTGGCTGGGTGCCTATGTGCGATATTGATAGATACTATCACACGCAGGGTCTAGGCGGGAATGGGGAAGCGGGGGCGTTATTGGGCTGAATGGCTTTTATTCGTGGGTTGGTATTATCTATATACGGGTGAATGGGCCGACCAATTGTCGAAGGGATATTTTGATTGATCACCGTTGACTCGGCTCAAAATCGTACCTCTGGCCGAGTGGTGATGTGCTTGGGCGAATATATTGGCGGCAGGGTTGTGTAGCGAGGACTCGGACAGGGCTTTCGAGATAGCTTGGTTGGGAAAGAAAGTCCTGAAAGGTCCCCCAGGCGAATGCTTAATCTCGAGGTGGCCCGTTTCCGACCAAGTGACGATGGTTCTACCTCTTGAGTGGTCGATGACACTGACAGCTGACTAGAAGTGTGCTGAGATAGACAGGATATGGTGATCAAACTTTGCAGATAGTGGAAGGATTCCTCTTCTGCAAAATGATCCTCCTTGGCACAGTTGGTGGTAGAGTATTGAGTGGTTGCGGTAGTCACGAGTGATGGTGTGGACGATCCTTGAGATCTTGGCGCTGTACTTGCAGATGATTGACTGACACTTGCAGCCAGTATGGCGAGCTGGTTAACAATTATCTCAGTGTCGCTGCAACACGGTGTGTCCCTCTTTGTTGTTGGTGTGACGTGGATATCTGGGGACGGCGGTGTTCGCGTGATTCGGGCATTGGCCGCGTCATTCCCATTTATTTCATCACTTGGTTCCGGCGTTTCAGTGGTTACCGCTGCATCTCTCTTGAATTGGCAACATCGGGTGATCAAGGTCCGGACAGCGGACCATGGAGTCCGGCCGTTGTGCAATATCAAGAGTCTCATATTGCTAAAGCAATGCACTAGAACAGCACCTAGATGAGCAAGGTACCAAAGCAGTGTGATTTATAAAGTTCTTACATCTCAGGTGATCAAATGCAAAGTAAAAAAAACACAGAAAGTCTGTTTTGGATCTAGATCTAGATCTAGATCTGCTTGAATCTTGAAATCTGAAATCAAGACTCCTAGCTATGCGTACTCTGATCTCAAATATAAGCTCACAAAGATCACCCAGAACATCAACCCGCCTTGCAATATCACCAACCTGTAGAATCAAAAAAAAGCTCTAACCATTCTGCCATCGTCCGGCGATCCCAGCGCAAATCCGAAAGTCTACATTTAAATCGAACCAAGCCCGCAACACGGGGAGATTGCCAGGGACGAAGAGCCAAAAACACGGTACCACCAAAAGAGCCCCCCTAACTCTACAATCCAATCCAATCCATCCGGCAGCCCACCTATCTCGCATCCGAACCGACTTCTGAATAACGAACCTCGTTTCGTTCGCAGGTCATCTGTGCTGCTGACTGCGGCTGCATATGCAGGTGTCCCACCTACCCAACCCCCGTCAGCACAGACGCGAAGCTTATCCATTGCGACAGGTCATATGCAACTTATGTTTTCGCCCGGCGGAGCGGAGGAGACAAACGCGATGAGTGTGGCGGCGGAGCTTCCTTCTTCCCCGGCCGCGCTTGTGGCGATAAAGTTCGCGCCATGATCAACCCGTTTGTGGGTCACGATGGGCTCGTTGACAATCGGGATGGTGAAATGGGTCAGAGCGTTTTTAAGGCGGATTTGGAATTTGACTGGGAGTTGAGATTGAGCTTCTGTCGAGATCCGGGCTTGGGATGTATTCTTTCTCCCTCTCTTCCTTCTTTCAGCGGGTGTGGACAAACGGTTTAGAAGGGCGGGTATATGTGCATTGGGGGGCAGTGCAAGGTAGGATGTTAATTAGTAAATGATAGATCGAAAGGTGCGTTTTTACTGGGATGAAGAGGGAATGTCGATTGATATTTCATGCATTGATGTATGTGTTTCTGTAATCATAGGGGTCATAGCGCTGCCATTGAGTTACGCAAATTTCCGAGTTTTAATTGCGAGCATCACTTGGTTTGGGGGTTTCGTGTCATGCAGTAGAGCTTTAGGAACAGCCACGCGGGGTATCATTAGCAAAGTCTAACCATGCAGACTCGAAAAGAAAACACGTACCATGCAAGCATCGGATCCGTCGCGACATTCCATCTCCCGACTCATCTCAAATCCCATACCCTCATAGATCTGCACATTAGGCACATTCTTCGAGCTTTCCAAATAGCATTTGATACCCTCCTGATCAGCCCGCTTTATAACCGTTTCGAAGAGAAGTTTCCCAATTCCCTTCCCTTGCGCCTCGGGACTAACAGCAACAATATTGCAAAAATAGTATCCACGCGGGTCATCCCAAATTTGCGCCTGAGCCTTCTGCTGATTCTCTTTCCAGATCCAATAGCGGTTCGTGCGCAGACCCCCCATGTCCAAGATATCGTATATTAGTGAGGAATTGATTGAACGAAAGGACCCACCCTTGATACCAGGAGTACCAACTCTCAGGCTGGGTAGCTGGCTGTGGAGCCATCCAGCAGGAGACTCCAAGGACAGGGGAAGGGGACGATTGTGAATCATCGACTGCGGCGGTGTCCTTGGCTACTTGGAATATTGCATTGTTGATGCCCCAGCGGCAGCGCGCTGTGAGCGAGTCATAGTTCCGTTTCTTGCTGAACTATATGTAGCGATCTCCCCGGCAGGGTAACGACAGGTCGATGGTCGACCGCGTTACGAGGAGATTGATGTTAGCATGGAAAAATTTCCGGCACCAATAATCTTTACATTGAGTGGAATGATACGACATACCGTGGACGCATCAAATACCCATTTGTAGTATGGATCATCTTCGAAAGCTCTTTGAATCACTTGGATGGCACCAGGGATATCGGCCTCGGTCAAGGGGACGACTTCGATCGCCATGGTGGATGTGAACAAGTGTTGACCCCGCAATATCATCAAGGGCCCGAGAGGCTCGGCTGATGATGGAGGTCAAGCTCTCAGTTCTTTCCAAGAACAGGGGTTTGTCGGAGTATCTGATCTCAGGGACGTAAGCTTGGTATATAAGCGATAGAATAATGAGGCGTGGTAGTTCGATGAATTCCGAGAAGTGAGGTCGACTGGGTGATATCTGGAGTAGCAAGTGGTCCACCGAAGTGGGGAGGTTCCAAGGTTTGAATGCCTCTTTAACCAGGGAAGGCAGCTCGAAGCGGGCACTCTTATCGCTATCTGCGGGGAGAGGTGCCCCAGGGTGGGGGTGGGTAAAAGGTATGGGACAGGGCTAGGCAACAAAGAGTAACTCAGGCTCGTCTTATTTGAAGCTGGAATGCCATTCTAGTATGATATAGGTATGGTCCATGTTGCGGAGAGAAAAGAGATAGAGAGTGACAAAATGATGTTATATAATCGACAGTCCTGCGAACGACGCCGGAAAATATGAGAGATACACCTAAGAGTTTGTATAATCTCAAAAATGAAAGAGATAGAAGAACATGCAGGCAAGGAAACACCCTCACGCCTTTTGCCCAATGATATGAACAGAGACATCTGAACCGGACCCGATATGCCAACAAACCCCGAATCCGAATTCAACCCAACCCAACCCAACCCAACCCCGAACAGAATAGAACACATTTGTAAACAAGTCGAGGAACAGAAGATGATTTCAAAAATCTATAAGAAAAAAAACAAACAAAAAGGAATCGCTTTGAAAGGAATGGACCTCCGTACACCGTTTCCGGTATGAAATTTCGTTGCTTCATGGCTAGGTTAATCGTGAAAGGGCGAATCAATGCACCGTGTGGGACTGGAGAATCGAAATCGATCACGTCCTGGCGAGATCTTCGATTCGAATCCACTCCCTTGGAACATCCATACTGCGGTTGACCCGGCCACCTGGGGTTAGAGGAACATCAACACGTCCCCGCCCCCGATCGTCGTCATCCTGGTCTTCGTAGAAGGATAACCGCGAGAAGTAATCTTCCAAAATAGCCTCGCGATCCCCATTTCCAACAATGGTCGTATACTCCGGGGGCGGAGTGACAAGAGGAGGCGGGGGAGGAGGTCTTCAAAGGCAGGAGGAGCAAATGAAGGTGCTCGCAGTAGATGCATCGGGCGAGGTACCTCGGAAGGTCCCGGTGCCGTTGTGGGGTTGTGCTCTCGCTCGTTGTTAGGCTCGTGGGCCAAGTGTGCTTGAGGTGGGCGGGCTAGACCTCCAGAACCGTTTGTGAAGCTTCGAGATATTGGGCCGATGGAGGCGCGACGGTTGAGGCTGAGGTTCGTGCTGGACTCTTCACGGTCAGAACTAGACTGCGCCGCCGAGTTGTCTCTCGGTGTCATGGGTGCACCGGGGCAGCCACATTCGAACTCCTGGGCTGGTGGCTCTGGTTCGGCTGAGGGTCTCGTGTAGGCCGGGAGATAGATGTTTGCTTGTGTAGCTTTGCAGGAAAGAATGTGGAAGGGTGAATCGATGGAAATTTCGAAATGTCTGCGTTTGGTAGGATCCCTTTCATCGACCTTGGAAAGACGAAGGACAATCTAAATATAGGTAAGTATTCATTCAATCTAGAAGCGCGCGCGTGCGGGAGACCGCTTACCTTGATCCAATGATTGATTTGAATGTTTTCGTAGGTTGTGTCAAAATGAAGGCGCTGTGCTTCGTCTCGACCTCTCATCTCATGGCAGCTTGGGAGCTGTACATTAAATTCCATTTCGGTTGGCCCGACACCATTTTCGGTTGAGAGATTGCCCAACAAGTTGGTCCGGGACCGATCCACGATCTCCTCGCCTCTTGCAGCAGCCGCGCGATGGTCCCAGTCGATACCTCCACCTGCAGTTACACGCATGGAACTGCCGGGATATGTGCTTGTGCTGGCGGATTCGGCTCGCTTTTCGAACAACAAGACCTTTTTGGCGGGTTGCAGTCGATGAACACTCTTGTCGGCGGTCCAGTGCTGAATATTTTCAGTCACATAGACCTTGATTCGATGACATTCGACCTTGGCAAGTGGTGTCAACTTGAATGCGATAGGAATCTGAGAGCCCATGGGGAAGGATTTTCCGGAAATCACAATGTCGTAGTGAAGCTGATCTTCCCAATTTCGAGAAATCGCAATCGGCTCGACCTGTTCTAACGATCCCTCAGCGGGAGTGCGAATGACGGGAATCTCCATCGTGCCGAGTAGGTTGGGGCGGAAAGCGCCGGATCGTTCGACAATAGCCTCCAGATCGTATTTCACAAATCCCAAGTCCGTTCGGATCGTTTCCGGCAGAGAACCATCGATTGGGAACTCGAAACTATACAAATAGTCACCAACCGGGAACATCCGGTAGTTGCGTTGTTGCTGAGCCTGGAGACCCTGGGGCGTGTCATTGCGACTGAAGCTTCGAGAGTGGCCGCGGGTAGTCTGTACGGAGAGACGCTTGGGATCTCGTACGTTGGTCGGGCCAAGGTTGGTGGCTGAGCCGCTCTTGGAGAAGAGCTCCCGAGTTGTCGCAGAGACGCCATCCTTGCCTGGTACTGGGGAGGTGGGTTTGGCGTGTTGGTAGAAGTGCGCGCCATAGTCATTCTGCATCAAAGCGGTATCGCCGTGGTTAAAATAAACGACGCCGTGGGTGAAAAGATCTTTCTTGTCGTGGAAATGAATCTTCTTGGGCGGAATACCATCGGGCCAATCTGTTTGGGCATGTCCGCGGAATTGGATGGAGATCTTCTTAATCTTGACACTCTTGGTGACTTTGAGATGTATCTGACCTCTCAAGATCGCTGATTTTTTTGAACTTGGATCCTGTTGATCATAACCTTGAAGGTAAAGCACTGGTTCTGTCAGGGCAATACCAACCGTGAGTCCGCTACCCGTCGCAACGATCTTCTCATTGCGCAATGGGGGAATGGGGTGCTCAGTTGGGGCACGGCACTAGGAGGGTCGGCCACTGGCCGGGGGAAAACCTCTGTCGCCATCATTGACTCTGGGGGTATGGCACCAATTTCCGGTTGTGTTGAGAACAAAGTCGAGTCTCTTGGGGAGAGGATGATTTCGGATACCGGCCGAGTGCCGCGAGCGCCGCGAGCGCCGCTACAGCGCGGGTTTGCCTGGTGTGGGGGCGCGGGCGAGTGGACGCCCGACGACCGCAGGCGAAGGAATCGCTTCGCGTTTTCGCGTGGCCCCGCCAGCTTTTTGAGTAGGGAACCCCGTCGGGTTTGCTTGGGGAACTGTTCTTCGACGTTCAAACACACCGAACGGCGTCGGATGGACCGGGTTCGGATAAGATTGGAGAGCGATAACGAAGGAACAGCGAGGTATTCGGACGGAGAAAGATCGTTGATAGACCCCGACCGCGATGAAAACTGCGGGGGGGATAATGTGAGCGGCCATCATCGTGGAGGTTGGTGCATAGTGTGAGATGGGGGAAAATCGGGCAAAATCTGGGACAAAAGTATGTGTTTTTTTTGTTTCTTCGAGGAGAAACCCTCTTTTTTCTCTCCTGCGACGGATTGCGAACCACAAACTGCTGTGTTTCGCCAAAAAACCGTCGTTGGAATGCGGGGAGGAGGGGGGGGGAGAGGGTGGTCCAGGCAAACCAGATGGTTTCTTCACGGGGAATTCCAGACCCAACGAGGGGATGCCACGAGTGAAAGGGAGGGAAAGAAAGAGGCAAGAAGGGGGAACACAAGAACCAACGAGACTTACAGATGAGGATATTAATGGGAAGTGTGTGGTTGCTTCTTTGCAATCCCTTGTGCACCCCCCTTCAATTCAGATCAACCACGCAAGGAGCACACCGATCTTTGTGCAGGAAGAGATGGAATTCTTGGGGCGCTGACTTCATAAGCACGGGTCCTCCACTCCAGTGATCATCGCCGCGCAGATCCCTTGAAGAGATGCGTTGGATTGGCTGCGGGGGCAATGAATTGTGGTTCCCGACTTTTTTGCGTGTTGGCGCTCCGTAATGTGGCGCTGATGACCAAGTGGCCGAGATTTGGGCAGTCACAATGGGAGGGAGAAAAAGAAAAGAAAAGAAAAAAGAAAAAAGAAAAAGGGCAGGGCGACTCTAGGAAGAATGAATAATGTATAATGAAACAGGGGGCGTTGAAGTAGAAACGCGGAACCACGGAGGTCTGGATGTGGTGAGAGAAGTGGAGGCAGCCAGAGTCAGCCAGAGGGAGCCAGACCCGATCGATGATGACATGATATCGCCAACTTCACAAATCCGGGTTGAGGCTACGTACTCTACAGTATTAAACTATAGAGTAAGTGGAGACTCTCCCATGTGTATGGAGATCGGTTCCCTTGCAATCTGCCATCTGCCACTGGTTCCAGTTCGGCATTTCTCAAGTCTCATAGGTACAGTATACACCGTGACCTAGTATACGTACAGTATATACTCTGTATACTCCGAGACGGAGTCACGGAATACGGACTACGGACGAGACGGATCATCCTCCGCATGACCAACTACATAACCCAGTCCATGGTCCATGGTCCTGATCATTCTATCAATTCAATCCAAGCCAATTCAACGGGGTATTCCGCTGACTCAAACGGGCAATACGGATGCTCGGCATCGCATCCCTGTTCGCCCCCGCAACTGCCAGAGGCTCACGCCCGGAGTACATACGAGTACATAGTACATGCGAATTGAAGACTCCCGAGGTCCATACCTAAAGTACATCATCCTGATCCAAGGGACAGTGCTTACCTTAACTGCGGGCCCTGATTTTCAGAGTTTGCTCGAGCTGCACGAGCCCTGACCTCCAACCCTCACGTCGAGGAACGAGCGAAGGAAAGTCTTCTGTGAATGGTTGGAAGTACTAACCCGCGAGAGAAACACTGTACAGTACGTACAGTCTCTCTGCATGGCAACATGTGCTGTAGATCGAGTGGTGAGTACGGAGTACTCAGTAGAGTACAGAGTATTCTACAAGGGATTGTCGTGGTGGCAGAGCAGTGGCAGGGCAGTTGGCAGCACTTGGCCTGAAGCAGGGGGGATTATCTGCGCCTTCTTGAGACTTTTGGTCAGATGCTCATTCTCATGCTCATGCTCATGCGAGTCGGGATACTGTAGTCTGAGTTTGAATATACTTGATGGCCAAAATTTCAAGTTAAATCAAGATGTAGTAAGTTCCTTGCGGGTCCGTGGTGTGATGACCTCATTGGGGGCCGGACAAGCCCCGATGTCAACGCGGCCCCCCGTCTGGATGTGGTGTGTGTTGTCGGAATTCCTGTCCGCGGGGAGAGAAGGATGTGCTAACTATAGTACAGATGACAGTGTATGTATGGGGAGGAGGAGAACTGACCTCGCTAGACCTGCCTTGTTTCACCTGGAATCAATGACCGTGACCGGGTTTGATCCTAGCCTCCGATGGAAATGGAGATGGAGATGGAGATGGGGTTGTTCAGCCCTACTCTCTACGTCACTTCTTGTTTCTTTGCCCCGCCCTGATCGCCGAGGCTTTTTTCTTGGACGGGTCTGTCAATCTACCTGTGGTGATTGGGGTCGCACATCCAATTTCCGTACCACTACGGAGTACGGAGTACGAAGTTACGGAATACTAGCCCCCACGAAAAGTGACAGGTCAAGAAGAGAGCTAGAGAGCTCTGAAATCTCTGTTCAGTTCGACCAGCGGTCAATAATGATATTAATTATTGAGCTCGGTGGTCATCTATACTAACTTTGTTGAGAAGCAGTATTCAAAGATTAAAAAAATACACATCATCTTCGTCTCGCCCGTGCCGTGTTTCCCAAAATGGTTGATATGCGCAACGCACTGGTAGTCCTGGAGGTCATCTCCGCCTACCACATGAACTTGGAAAAGTAAATGATCCAGCGGGGAAAAGGGTCTCCGAGGCCTAGCCAATTACCAAGCAATGATCATCTTTGCGATGCATCGATTGGCCTAGCGAAACGAACATGGCACTATCCTCAGTAGATCTAATTAGTGCTACTAGTGTAGTGTGCATGCGCATGTAGATCATAGGGGAACGACTCTGGACGTGTCTTGCCCTCCCCCGATCAGGTACTAGTACTATACATTTTCATTGGAAGACAGGCAGTTTCTAATCTGTTTTTTCCCGCGCTCCGCGCTCCGCATCATATCATGCTCTCGCTCTTCAAGAGAACCAGTTGTCGTCCAGCTCGCTAATGTTCATCAAACTATCCCCTTCCAATTGGTTTAAGTCTCCACCCTCTCCAAAATTCTCCGTTTCCATGAACAAGTCGTCGAAGCTGGATTCCCCAGGACCCATGATATCGTCGGTACCGGCGCCTTGCTCGGGGAATAGATTGGTGTCTCCATCCGTCCTTTCTAATTCCATGTCGAAGGCACCCCCGCCAGCGGGCGTGGGGGGTTGTATTCTCCATCGGATTCTCCGCCGGCATTGAAACGTTGGGCTTTTCAGCATTGCCAAAGGTCGTTCCAGAAAGGAAGGCTTGATTGCCCGTGTCATCGTTTCCAAAGTCAAGATTGAGGTCGAAGGTGTTGGCGCCTCCAGTATCATTGAGAACGGAATCGAAATTGATCTCCTGGGTCTCTGCCAATCCTTGATCGGTCGGCGCGCTAGCACCCTGTTCATTTTCCACCTTCACCGTTACTTCCTCCTTCGGCGGAGGCTCCGGGATGGTGGCGGTGGGGGCTACTTGCGGCTCTGTCACTGTCGGTTCTTCCTCTTTCAGGTCCACTTTTTCAGGACTTGGGGATTTTGCGATAGGTTGTGATGGTGGTGGTGGTTGCACCTGTGGTGGAATATTCAGATCCGCATCGTTCATTGCCACATCCTCCGTAAGCTGGGGCGCGGTCTCCCGGGCCTTGATAGCTTCATAGTCTTTTTCCAAGAAGGCCTTGGCGATAAACTGTGATACGTCAGTACTGTCGGTATTAGAAAAAAGAAAAAGTAAAAAGTAAAAATCAATATCAAAATCAAATCAAATTAAATATTCGAAAGAAAGAAAGAAAGGCATAAATGCTTTTGATGTGTCTCTCTGCGACTACGTAATCGCTCCGAGCATCCAATCGGACTCACAATTTGCTCTGAGAGATTATCCAGGGCCGACTGAAAGCTCTCATAGTAGGAGGGGATGGATCGTTGCAGATGTGTGCTTGATGGGATTGAACCATTTTTCCTGAAGAGTCGTCCCGTATCCAGTAGCTGTGTGGTCAGTCAGTCATTTGGGTGAAGTAAATCTCTTTGAGGAAGAGGGAAGCAGTACAGTGCGCTCCATCAGCATGGACAGCTCACCCAGGGAGTCCGGGTTGGAATAGTTGGCAGAGGTCATGGGGGGCAGTACGATGAAATATTTTCTTCTTCCTTAGCACGAGAAGCACAAGAGTCGAGTAATATGTAGTAGTTGAATGAAACAAGGGGAAGCACAGAGGCGGGAGTTGGGAGATGGTTGTACACACGGGGTTGACTAGACCCGTTGGAGTTAGCCACAGCTCTTCTTTCTCTCGTCTCTCTCTTCTTCCCCCCCCACCCCTAGCCGCTTAACTCTCCCTTACAACTTCTTCTTTTCCCCATCTGCTTCTCGTTTTTTCCTTGTTGTTCGTCGCGGATCGAAGCGACTCGAGTTCGTGCGTGTGTGCTTTTCCCCTTTCTTGCATTTCTTCCTTTGGTCTCCTTGGATCTTGGATCTATCTACCGGCCTCAGCGCTGCTACGCTTTCCTCTTCTCGCTCGTCCCCCCCAAATCCATCTCGACACGAAACAAAACGACGATCGAAACCAAAACACCGTACCCCTCCCAGGTCTACCCCTCGGTACCTTTCATCATATTTCGTCCATCCTCTTGTCGACATTGGAGCTTCGATAGCCATTATCTGTCTCTCTCCAACTCAGTTCTCCATCTTGAGTGATTGCTTTGTTTGGATCGTTGCAAGCTTGGTCTTTTGATTGGACTTGTCTACCTGACACCCCCGCGGACCCCCTTTGACACCAAAAATATTATCATACATATCCTTTTCTCAGTTGCATTTCCACGATCGTGACCTTTTACTGTGACGAACAGTTGTCGTCTCTACATCTTCGCATCGCTCGAATTCTCCCGACCCCCGTTCATCTCTTGGCTACGCCGTCTAGGTATTTTTGCATCTGTCAACTGCTATATCATCACTCATTCTCTCCCCGATCGCTTTCATCCAAAATATATCAACGCCTATACACGATGGCTGAGAACGCTTCCGCTTCCACTCCCTCCACTCTGCCCTCGGCTCCTCAGCCTGCTGCCGCCGCTCAGAATCAGCAGTATGATGCTGCTCAGGGCAATGGCCAGGCCAACCCCTCTCACATGCCTCCCCCGCCGCGGCCTCCGGTGATCATCCCCCAGAACAACAACCCCATCCCGACCGCAATGGGTTCCCCCATGTCTGGCAACATGATGTCCCCCACCAGCGCTGGTGGCTATGTCCGCCGCGCTGCCCCCGAGCCTAACAAAAGAGCCCTCTATGTTGGGGGTTTGGATCCTCGCGTGACCGAAGATATTCTCAAGCAGATCTTTGAGACTACCGGTCATGTCGTTAGCGTGAAGATCATCCCTGACAAGAATGTGAGTACACAGGGTGATGGTCGACCCACGGCTACTCCCATGAGAGACCAACAAGGCATATCGATGAATATGCAAGATGTAAAGTTTCTGCACCGGATAGCTCGGTCTCCATAAACGCTCGAATAGGGCTAACTTTTCCCAGCAGTTCAACAGCAAGGGTTATAACTACGGCTTCGTCGAGTTTGACGACCCCGGTGCGGCTGAGAGGGCTATGCAGACTCTGAATGGCCGTCGAATTCACCAGTCGGTTAGTTGATGATTACCCAATTTATACTCTTGATCCTCCTCTAACGGTCCATTTCTTGCAGGAAATCCGTGTGAACTGGGCGTATCAGTCCAACAACACCAACAAGGAGGACACCTCCAACCACTTCCACATCTTCGTCGGTGACTTGAGCAATGAGGTCAATGACGATGTTTTGACTCAGGCTTTCTCTGCCTTCGGCTCCGTCTCCGAGGCTCGTGTGATGTGGGATATGAAGACTGGACGCTCTCGTGGATACGGCTTTGTCGCTTTCCGTGATCGCACCGATGCCGACAAGGCGCTCAACGCAATGGATGGCGAGTGGCTGGGCTCTCGTGCTATCCGCTGCAACTGGGCCAACCAGAAGGGCCAACCTTCCATCTCCCAACAGCAGGCCATGGCCGCCATGGGCATGACCCCCACCACCCCATTCGGTCATCATCACTTCCCCACCCAGGGCATCCAGAGCTACGACATGGTCGTTCAGCAAACCCCGCAGTGGCAGACCACCTGCTACGTCGGCAACCTGACCCCTTATACTTCCCAGAACGACTTGGTCCCCTTGTTTCAGAACTTTGGATATGTTCTCGAGACACGTCTCCAGGCCGATCGCGGATTTGCCTTCGTCAAGATGGATTCCCACGAGAATGCTGCGATGGCCATCTGCCAGCTGAACGCGTACAATGTCAATGGCCGTCCGCTGAAGTGCAGCGTAAGCTCCTAACCCAACTATTACTTTGAACACCAGGTTTGCTGACTGTATACTCTGGACAGTGGGGTAAGGATCGTCCTCCTACCGGACAGTTCGACAACTTCTCTCCACAGCAGGCGAATGCCACTTTCCCTAACAGCCCCGGCTTCTTTCCCCAGTATGGTGGTCCCGCAAACCCCATGAACCAAGGTATGTCTCCCAATCTTAGTGTCTCAAAAACATCATATGCTAACTGAAAGATGTAGGTCCTGCCCCTGCTGGTCGAGGCTGGGACCAGGGTGCAAACAACTTTGGCGGCCCTGGTATGCCCGCTCAGGGCTTCCCCCAGGGAAATGCTGCAGGTTTTGGCCGTGGTCAACCCATGTCCCCGTCTGGAAACTGGGACCAGGGTAACAACAACTTCAACGGAGGCTACCAGGCGTAGATCTTCATTGACTATTCTTGACTGTTATTGACATCTTGCCACAAATACACTGGCTATTATTAATATAGCACTTGTGAGACTAGGTACAATGTCCTGACACTGGCTGTCAACCGGCCGAACCTTTCTTTTTTTGACTCTTTGCCAATCTTCCTCTCACCACCCACACCCCCTTCGACCTTCTCCCCTCCCATCTCGCTTCTGTCGTTCTAATTGTTGAAATTGTCTTTCAAGTGGATTTCCCGAGCGATCAATTGCTTTCTTCTGAATGGAATTTGTGTGTTGTGTTGTGCACCGAATACCCCCAAGTCCACTTTGTTGGTTCGATCTTTCTTTTACCCTTTTGAGTGTGCAAGCCCTTGGATGTTTGATTGGAGTGCTGTGCCTCCCAAAATAAAAGCGATCTTCCCTACTCTCTTTCTATACTCATTTGCCCTTCGACATGTTCTTGTGAATTTTTTTGTTTAGTTGTTATTGCATTGTTTCTCCAGTACGTGTATTATTGTGCTGTGCTGTGCTGAATCTGCTTCTTGTCCCTTTTTTCTTCTCCATTTCCTTTTCTTAGGCCCATATTTTCATTGTTTGATACTGCTTCTTCGTTACTCAAAACCATGCTTCTTTACCCCCGCCTCCTTTTTCCTCCCCTTTTCCCACAGGCTGTTCGGTTCACAATTTGTCCTGACGGGAAATTATCCCTTTTTTCTTTCCCCTGAAGTATTCGTATATGCCCGTTATGAGTTCCTTTGTCGTGCTTGACACCATCGGTCTTTGTGATTCTTTCCTATCTCATGCCTGCTGGCGTTCTAGCCGATATACCAATTTGCCTTTTTATTTATGCTCCTGTTCCTCTTCTACCTTGTTATTTTTTTCCCGACCTGGTCTAGATTTTCGACCGCTGGCTATGTTGTCCTACCCATTTTCCGTTCATGCATGGTGCCCGATTATTGCATTTGGTGCTACCAGGTATCTCTATGTAGTCAAATCTATAAGCTCACATAGGAGAATGCTACGATTTGCTAAGAAATACCGGCGAGTAATGAGAAGAAAATATCGATCTAGATCACAGTACTCTCAATAAATTCCTTTCATTCTCATAATGTCTCGAGTCTGTAAATAGCTGCGTATACTACCAGCTACTAGTAGAGTTCCATGTTCATCATGCTGACTGTAAACAATTGCCACGTGCCTGAGGCCACAAATCTAGCTCCCGCCAACCCGCTACCCCGTACCCACCTCGTCAACGCGGCCTATAATTAAACACGTCCTAGGGCAACCAACTTTCACTCTGGACGAAACTCACCAATGCTGGGCGACTGAATCTCGAAGAGCTGACGGTTCGGCTCACCGTTCCCCTCCACACCAATGGACAATGGCGAAAGAAACAAGGCGGAACTCGCAGCGGTCGACGAACTATCCAATCGCACACGGTCCGGCAGTGCAAGCAGCGGCCACAAACGAAGTCTCTCCGGCTCCCTCCTCTCTCGACTTTCATTCCTCCGCATGAGCCAAGCCACACAATCGGAAGTAAGTCCGCATACCATGGAACAAGACGGCGAAGGCGACGGCGAGGACCACCTCGAGTCCAACATCCCCCCAATGAGCAGCGAGAAGCCATCAGCCAGCGCCAAGGCAATGTCGGCAGTGATACAGCAACAACGACGGACACGAAGGCGGCGGGGCTCACTGCGCAAGACTGCGCTGCCAGGCACGAGACTGGAATCCAGAGATAAACGCGCAGCGGCGAGAGGGGTATCTTCCGAGACGGTTCGAGGAGGGGAACCGATTCGACAGCATGGGGAAGATGTACCGCGCTCAATACGGGAACAGACCTCACCTCCTCTCCCGGACGATTTTAATATAACCAGACGTGGCGGCTTTGGCGAGGAGGATGGTGAAGATGCACAACCAAGCTGGTTCAGCACGAATACGGCGCAGAAGATTCTCCGATCCTCTGTCGCGCGCCGGAGGCAGGGATTACCGCCACAGAACAACAGCAACAGCAACAACAATAATAAAAACGATATGCTGGGCGATGAGATTGGCACGGACGATGAGGAGCTTGTTTCGTTCCCGCGCATCGGCGCGAATATCGGTTCCAATGCCAATAATGATTCTTCGAACAAAAGCTCCGCTCCGAATTCCCTTCACATTCCTACTCAATCATCCGCTTCGGAGGGCTATGGATATCCTTCTCTCTCGGCTGATGCAGCGTACCGACCTGTCCATCGCAAATCATCGCCGCTGTCGACGCACTCGGCGGAGATGAAGAGTAATTCTGCCAATATAACGTGGGATTATTCGGAGACGGAGTGGTGGGGGTGGATTATTTTGATTGTGACTTGGTTGGTCTTTGTCATT